ATTGGGAATGTTGAGTATCGCACAATTTTTTTATAGTTTCGTCAAAGATTTTTACAATAACCTGTATATATAAACTCTGGTCTAAATTTCGGTCTAGACTCCAGTTTCAAATCGGTCTACAAACCGATCCAGTTCGATTTTACCTCAAACCGATAAAAATCGGACCGAAACCGAACTGGTCGAACCATTAACATCCTTAACGTCACATAAAAGGAACAAGCACCTAGAATATTACTATATAATAGAAAAGAGGAAAACTGCATAAAGAATAAAAACAGGAACATAAAAATCAATAAACCAAAAGCTTTGGATAAAGTTACAAAATTTTAATTTCATTTCATCTATATTCAGTATATACAGTGTTTATCCATAAAAAGGAGGGAAATAAAAACATTGCCTGCTTACAATATCAAGAAATATATAGAGAAATTACATCAACATCGAAACACAAACAAACACTTTTAAACTAGTTATTTTATAACAAAGTAACGATCAAATAATTATTGTGATATGTAAGTTATTATATAATATAACATTTGTATACAGAAAGATATAAATATATAGTATATAAAGTATATAAAACGATACAAAAATCAATCAAGCGAAATCAATATTTATATTGTCACACATAATTTTTACTGTATTATACGGAAAATTTATTATATTTATGTTATAGTATTATCCGATATCCAATTAAACTAGGCTAGTATATTTTACGATGGTTTCCTTATTTGTACTCCTTTTTTTTACTCCTTCCTTCCTCGCTTTAGAATCTCCTTTAGAATGAATTTTGTACGCTATTACGCTAAAATAAATTTTATTTTTATCTTTAAAAAAATATAAATTAACCCATCATTTACCACACGCGCAAATGCGGCACAGGAGGTATTATGTCAGAGTCGATCGATGAGTTTATTTTCTGTTTGTCGTACCGTACCTTTACCTTGCTTTAAAATTTTAATATTAGATTAAATGCTGGTTTAAGACAGTCAACCAGTCCAGTTGTACCTTACGGAGTACAATCCGACGATCTTTGAGTGCAGTCATACAGATTTTTTATGCAGACTGAATAAATTTTAATAAGGCTTGGCCACCATCAGACTGCTGAGTCTTATAATGTTGATTAATCGGACTGTTAGAATTTATATGACCTATATAATGTGTACCCAATAAATCTCCGCAAAAAACTCTATCGTTTTAAACTTATAAGACAAATGGGCGTCACATGATTGTAATAAAATTTTTTAGAGATGGGTAAATTTTATATCGAAATAATTTTTTTATAAAACCGTGATTTTGATGGAAAAGTTCTTCGCTTCATGCATTTTTATAAAATATTCTGATTTCTGACCATTTCACTGCGTCATACAGCTATATGTATCAGTATTGTTTATTAACAAAGAACCATCCTAATATTTAATAATTTGCTGTAAGAAAGCTTTATTTTTTAAATTGTAATGATATATACATTTTAGAATTTAGTCTTTATATATGTATATTACAGCATGACATGATAATTATTATAATAACCAACATTTGGTATTTTCTCCGGTGTAGCATTATCGTCAATAATATTCATATTTACAGTATTCTTGAAATATTTCTTGAAATAATTTTATAATGAAATTTAAGAGAATATATATGTAAAAATTAAACTCATTATAAAAGATTAAAATAAATTAATTATAATAATAAGACATTATAATAAAATCATTCAACCACGAAACTACTCATTATATTAAAAATAAATTAATATTATTATAATGAAATCATTCACCGCGAAACCACTAATTATAGTGAATATAGTGAACGGGAAAAAAAAAGTTTTATTGAACGCAATAAAGCTTCTGTGTCGTTAAAACTAATTGTCGACAAATAATTTTAGGCAAGTTACTGGACTGCGTGGTCCGATGATCAGAACCCAAATTCATATGACAGCTAAAAAGTGACATGACTGTACTCAAAAGATCGTCGGACTATACTCTGCAAGGATACTCCAACCAGTCGGTCTTAGAAATCCATTGACTGACGATGTAACAAATAATATGGACGTTTGAGTCTGAAAGAGATAACTTAAATTCTTCAAGCATTGTGCTTGACATACAATTTGCTTTCTAGGTTTCTATCCATTAATGGTATAAAGATATATAGCGATGCCAATGCGATCGAATGTATAATATATCTACCGTTGTGAGAAAAAAGAATGAAAGTTGGTCGTAAAAGAGAAAAGAAATGTGTAGATAATATACATATGTTGTTTTAGTAGTTTCCTCTGAAAGCAAGTGTGAAAAGTCATGTATAAAACAATGTTACGTTGGGGTGCGCTATCAACTAATTAAATCAAAACTATGTATAGTCCTATAACAAAAATTACTATTGAAGATTTTTTTATATTAAGCTATTTTATAGTATAATTTACTTATTTTATAATAAATTTACTATTAACGAAGCTATATTTTCTTTTTTTAATAACTCTGGTTCCTTCTTATCATTTTTATTTCAGATTTTTCGAATATCTGTCTCTTTCACAAGATAGATCGCTTTTTTAAAAAAATTCATTAATACTCCGAAGTTAATAAATTAAACCTTTTTTTTACGTGAGTTTTAAAAAAAACGATGTATTTAATGTTTCTTAAAGTTATCATGTACCCATTCAACTTTTACTGCATTACTTAAATGTTAATAGAGTACAAGTTATTAAATTTTAAAGATTTCGGTTATTTTAATAGAAAAATGGCTCGCAAGCCCGAAGTTAAAACGATCGTCAAAAAATCTCTAATAGTGAATTTTACTATAGGACTATATATACTTTTGTTAAACTATGTTGACAGCGCACCCCAATGTTACTTATATTATTCCAAGCCATAAAGAAACACGCTACCTGACTAATCTGCTTTAAATAAGGTCTATGTATTCTGAAGGAGGGATCGGGTATGTACATTTGTATATTATTATTAATCTATTTTATTAGCTCTGTCAATTCAAATTGTCTATTACATATTATGAATGACAAAGAGTACGATAGCCAGGAATTATTATCATTCGAAAAAAAGCAAAAGAAATAAAGTATCTAATTCTGATCCGCGTTCGGTAACTTAAAATTTAATAAACAGCTAGTGGAGTTATTTGTTTTCAAGCTAGTGTAGTATGGTTTGTAATTTTTTTCTTCCCATGTAAGATGTACATGTATATATTTTAGAAATTTCATATTAAGGGTTCGGTTTCAGAACAAATTGCATCGACATTTAATGTTTCATGTAATACGCGCCAAGAGAAAACGATCAGCAAAACGATCAAACGAAAAATAAACAAATTAAAGACTATTCACTTGACGATATAAATATAAAAGTTCCGTGAGGAATTTGTATTGGTTTAATTATTGCTAATGCTTCAAATACATTGAATTGCTACATTTTAGATTGTCCATTTTAATAAATCATTTATTTGTTTCTTTGATATACCGAATATTTGTGTGACCCTCCCCTAGCTATGTCAATCCATAATGATAATTCATATTTCATGCAAATTTTGTGGTGCAAATTGTTTCGGAAAAAAAACTACATTTTGACAATCGACTTTCTAGCTAATTTACTAAATCACCCATTGATTTTCGTTTTTAATATTTATAATTTAACCAACTTAACATGTAAATTTGTTAGAGTCTATCTAAATTGTAAGGTATTTCTCGATGTAAAAAACTTTATTTTTGTTCACATTTATTTAATTACATTTTATTTTTTGATATTAAAGATTGAGACATGATTTTAATTTCCAATCATCACTGTCAGTTTTCAATCAAATGAACCGGAACTGCCATAAATAACAACGCAACGTTATCCGCGACTTTAACAAATGATGATCAATTGAATATATCATTAAGGAAAATACCACCACATATATCGTAATTACGAGAATTATTTTGGTATACCCACGTTTGGGATTCATTTTATATTCAAAAAATGGTTTCGATATTCTTTTGAATGTATTTAAATTTAATTCGTATTTCACAAAATTACGAATTTCCAGGTATTTGAAATGATTTTATGAATTCGTTATTTCATTCCAACTTTTCTGGCACTGCACTCTTTTTGCTGTCTGAATTCTAGTTTCAATTAGATCGTATTGATCAACTTTTTAAATTCAGATACGAGGCCATCTCAAATCGAAGTATTTCTGATAAAATTTGGATTTACAAACACAAGGTTAGAACATCTACAATTTATAAATTAATATCACCAAACTTTTAGAAATTCGTGAAAATTGTCAAAAAATGAGCAATAACATTGATAGTAAAAAATTTTATATAAACGATAATAAATATGACAAAATCTTATTGATGAATCTTTATGATTTATCCTATAGGATATTTTTCAATCAGGCTATGCCAAATGTGCATATATAGTATTTAAATATTTAATTTAACTTATCAAATAAATCTCTCAAAGTTTATTTATATTTTCAAAAAAGAATTACACGAAAATTGCCGATCGTCAAAATAAAAAAATTAGCGCGAGACGTCTTTTCCAAACCTTTACTTCCTGTCAAGGTGATTAATCGACATTTAATAAATTTTATGCACAGTATTTTTTTGGAATGTTATTCGTCAATAAACTTGCAATTAATAAATATTAAAGGCGCCTTATTCAGAATAAATGTTATGGTAAATAAATTCTATCAATAACGAATTAAATTTTTCTATGCAACTGTTGCCATTGCGCAACCTAGAAGCGGCTCTGGTTCATTTTCTAGAATTTTGCCGTCTGATTCTATAACAGCAACTAGAATTTGATATGGATTAGGTAAGGTTGGTGGTGCCAGAAACGTAGCAAGTTTATTAAAAGGAGTTTTAGCTTTTATTGGACAGTCAGTTCCAGTACAAATGCTTCCAACATATTGATCGCCTACGGTTTTTTTAGTTTCAGGATCGACATACTGAATAAGAAGTCCGGTTATTTCTGTGATATCTGTATCTAAAGTTCCAGAAACATTAAAAGTATCGTTTTTTCCGGAGACTACTGGATCAGGATTAAGTTTAACGTTGAGTAGGGTTGGTAGAGGGTCAATAAAATTACATTTTTCAAAGTGCGTAGTTCTCTTTTGAGGTTGATGTGGTATTGCGTTGGCCGTGGAAATCACAGCCATTAAAATTAATGCAAAAATAAAATGTCGGTTCATGATTATTATTTCTTTACAAAGGTATGTTGCTAATTGTAAGATTTCTTTATGAATTTAATCAATTTTGTATTCGGACTTAATCGTAATTAGAGCCTTTTTATAAAGAAATAAAACGTCCGATTCCAAATCATCAATTCTTTTTTTTAAAAATTGGTTTTTAAAGCTATGGATAATCTACATTTTATGATGATGATCATGTGGTTTTCAGAATATTATACTATTTTGAAAATAATATAGTAGTAATGATTACCAAAACAAATAAATAAAATGAAAAATAAAATTTTTATTTAATTATTTTCCGGTCGATCATTCAACTTGAATAATCGCAATCACAATCAACCTATAATTGATTCCTTTATTGATTCTGAACTTTAAAGTTAAACTCTACGAGATATTAATTTACTTTTAATAAATTTGTCCTATAAAATATATATATTAAATATAATAACTATAATAACTCTATCTAATGAATCCTAATTAATCATAATTAATGGTAAAATTATAAATGCTAAATCTTATTTGTCCACTTCGTCATATTATGGGCGGCAGTCAATAGAAAAGGGGAAAATCTTTGATAAAAATTTTTTTATTGGTCCACTTGACGTGATCACAGTCATGTGCCCCAAATTAGAAATAAACAAAAAATTTCAGATTTCTCTCTTTTTTACTGACGCATTCCATATTCTTTTTCATTGTCAATCTTATAATTAAGCAAACGACAATATATTTCTACGCACTGTAAAAAAATTAGATCAAGAATGTATTTATTATAATCGATAAATCAAATCAATTATTTAGGCTAATTTTAAGTGGCGCAGAAATTCAGAAACAATAAAAATAGGGAGGGCCTCAGGCAAACCAGCTGCTGTTGCAGCTTTATAATATAATTATTTTCTTGTTTATTTGGGAAAAATAATTGCTGAATGATCAATAATACTAAGAATAAGAATTATAACAAGAATAAACACAACAATCCTAATCTACAAAAGTGAAGGCAAAATTTAATAGATAAATCAAAAGTGTGAAAATAAAACACATAGACACGATCGAACCCCGAAAAGATAATTATAATAAGAAAAGTTACAAAAAAAATCTCCCAGTACATCTGATAGAAGCATATAAAAAATTTCAATATTTGGTCGGCAAATAGATTTTAGATTCTCGACATTCAAAAATTTTTGTATTAAATTTTTCATAGTATTACGCGATTAACAAGTTAGCGAAAAGCATTTATCCAGCTTTATTTTAATGTATAGAATTAATTACCTGCGCTTAAAAAATATCATTCATTACGAATAATATTTTCTGGCAAAGCTTTAATTTGGTAAATAAGTTTTTTTTTAACAAGTAAATTGTTCTTTGGTGATCAATAAAATTTATAAAATAAATTAATTACTTTAAAATGATGCATTTAAAGAATTAAGGTTTTCCAAACTCTTGTATGTCAAAGGTTCATAAATAATTTATTATTATTTTTTTTTTTTTTTTGAGATAGGCATTATAAGGCCACTCACATTAGTATTTTCGGTTTACGTAACATTAAAATCTTAAAATTGACCCGAGGACCTGACTCTGCTCGTCGCAGACCCTATATAGTCGCAATAATAAGAGTGAGAGTGTGTCGAATGTATATGATTCTATAAACTTGCATCCGTTTATTTTATAATCAAATATTAGATATCATATTCTAGTATTTTGAAAAATAATCTAAAGATCAAAAAAACACTCGATGTAATTCATTTTTATTTTTTTACAACTTAAATAAAATTATTTTTGATCATATCAATTTTATAACTTTTAGTTTAAATAACGATAAGAATGGTTTATAAAAGTGTTATTCATCATTTTAATCTATTTTCCCTCACATTTGGAAAGATTGCTAGTAAAATCAGGTTCTGAGAATTTTTTGACAAAATTTTGATTTTATTGCATTTCAGTTTTTGATGTTATTAGATTAAAATGTAATAAGGTCTTACTTTTATCAAAAAAAATTCTCAGCCTGATTTTTTAGAAAACTTCCCATTTGCATTATTATTTTGCCTTTTATTATTTCTAAATAAGGGTTTCGTTTAAATCATTTTTCAAAAATCATTTTAAAATCCACATGATTGTCGATTAATAATTAATGTAAGAATGTGGATTTTGAATGGTGCATTTTTTTCTTTATAAAGTGACCTGATTTAAATTTACTCTGTATTCAAGAAATAATTAAATTCACGGAGAAAATCCTCTAATTAGATATCTTTGACAAAGAAATAATAATCATGAAACGAAATTTTATTATTGTATTCATTTTATTAGCTACACTTTCCATGGTCAATGCATTTCCACATCAACTTCAAAAGAGAACGACTTCCTTTGGTGAATGTGAAACTGATGGTTCAACACCTCCACCCTTAGTATCCGTAACAATTAATCCTGATCCTGTCGTCCTCGGACAAACCGAGACTTTTACAGTTTCCGGAACTTTAGGCGTAGATATTACAAGTAAAACACAACTTATTATTTTTTATGGTAATCCTGAAAATAAAAAAATCGTAAGCGATACCTACAAGGGGCCGGTTTGTACTGGAAAAGGATGTCCAATCAAAGCTAGTTCACCATTTACCGTAACTGCGAATTTCACGACGCCATCAACCTTACCTGATCCATACGAAATTGTAGTAGGTATTGTAATCCTACCTAGTACACTTCTAGCCTGCGCATCTGCAGTAGTTGGTGGGTGGTTATCTAATGGAGCTGCCTATGATTTGCTTTCAATTCCTCTATAATTATTATTTTTTTTTTTTTGATTTTATTTTTTAAACATTTTTATTAGTGATGAACAAAAATGAAAAATTTAATTTGTTATTGATAGAATTAATTTACAATACTAATTATGCTGAACAAGACGCCTTTAACATAATTACATTTTGTTTTTCTAAGTAAGATGCTCGCTTTTAAGTTTATTGACGAATAACGTTCAAAAAAAAAAAAAAATTTATTCGCCGCATTTGTTACACAAAGTCGTTTTTGACCGATAGGCAGTCCTTGTGTGTTGAACATTTTCCTTTTATATTATTCATCGCAATGATTTGTTTCCACAAATAAAATATCTTTCAATTTTAATGTATAATACAATTATTAAGATTTAATATTGTGATAAAATACAACCATAAATGTTTTATAAAATTGAACGATAATAAATCTAATGAACTGAAACAAAGCAAAATTAAAGGTGCTTTTACTGATCAACAAATTTCATAATCACAGATTCATAAAAAAATACATGAAGATCATAACGTTTAATAAATAAATTTTAAATTGTGCGACTCTTCATTTGTGTTACGTTTATTATTTTAGCGTAGAGATCAGATCACTAAACATTTTTGGCTACAAGAAAAGTATATCCGATTTACTATGGTTCATCTCTTTAGCTTCAATGGAAGACTGGTTTGGACTATAGATTAGTAATTAAAATTTTCTTTTCTCCTTTTCTCTTTGAGTACTTATTATTAATCTATACTAATAAAAAGATACATAATGCGTGATAGTGAATTAATGATCCGAGGTCGTGATTCATACTAGAGCCCCTGGATTCGTGCGATGCAAAAATAAAAAAAAATGCATTTTAAAATTACCAAAATGCAAAAAATGTAAAAAATTTTTTATTTAGTAAAAAAATATAAATTTAATTGGAAAAACATATTAAAAAACGTTGCACATGACAAAAAAGTTCACGTAATTTGTGTGACATATTTACTGGGCGGGCATTAGGCTGGCCAAAATTAAGGTAAATAGGTAAAATTTACTATTGAATCTTTTTTGTACTACATAAAATATAATGTGTCCGAAACCGGAATTACTTCCGAAAACTGGTTAATTTTCCGGTTCATAAATTAATCACGATATTATTGATTTATTTTACAGTATATAGTAATACAAATTACAGCTTTAACTACTATTACAAATTAATTGTTTAAAAATCTTTGATGCAATCTCAGATCCAGATAGCTGAATTGTGCTTCCTGAAGTGGAGGTTTTTTTTGTTGCTGGTGGATGACAATATAATAAATATGATTCTTAACGAAATTATAAATAGTGGAAAAATGATATATGTATTGGATCGTCACAAATGCAAAATTGCATAAATTCTTCAAGAAAACTGCTGTTTTGACATAGAAATTCACTCAAATCAAAGTCATTTGTTATTCCATTATTTTTGTCATCTTCCAAATCCTGAGCAAATCGCAATTCCAAATCAGAAGGTAGAGAGATCCAAGGTTTTTGGAGAATCACATGATAAAAGCTAGATGCAAATGATTGTGCACTATTCCTCCAAGCCGGCAAACTGCTAATGGTAAATGAAGCCATGGTAAAAACCATTTTTGAAAGGATTCTAAGGTCGAAAACAAGTCTTAATTCTATTTTTCAACATTGGCCCGTCTTAAATAAGTATAGAAAATGATATCCTCGAAAAAAGGATCCATTTAAATGGAAGTTCTTTTTTGATGTTGAAAGTGTACATATTGCGCGTTCACATGCAGTTTTTAATCAAAGGAGAGAACATGCATTCATTGTAAAATCTTTCTTAAAACTTGATTTTGAATGTACAGTACTTAGTACCTTTAATGAGACAACCGCAGAAACTATTGCTTATGATTCGGACAAGAAAGCACTTTGTAAGCTAAATGTTCTTATATTTAATCTGGGTGGTGCTTCTTTTAATGTCACCCACTTAACTAATGAAGAAGAAATTTACGAAGTAAGGTGACACGCACCTTAGAAGTGAAAGTCAAACCAGCGATTAAATTGGCATCTTTTATAGCAAGATGTTGAGAGCCATTAAAGAAATCGGCATCGTACCAAGAAAAGCTCCTTCATCTTTATCAATACCATGGAAGAAATTTTTAGGTGAAAATTTTCTTTTCACCTTTATATTCGAGCTGAATATAAATAAGGCTTTCAATTCTTTCCTATGATTTTGAATGAAGAAATTTATTTATATATTTTTTTTGTTGCTCGTAGATGAAAAAAAGAAAATTTTGAAAGTTTTGTTCCAAAAATTATTATCCTAACCTAAATCGAGAATATAAAAGATAATAAATTGAGCGATTCAACGATTTTGCCAAAAATCTCCTTTTATTTCTTTGAGTTCTCTACGCTTACGTTGATTTCAGATTATTATATTTCTTTTTTTTTTTGGTTTTTTTTTTTTTTTATAGTTTCATTTTAGACGCAGATAGAAAAATGATTAGACAAAAATACTTACGCATTCCCTCTTCTTTACTTTAAGTTCCCTCCGGCTTGAATCCAATAAAAGGTGAGTTTTTTTGATTATTTTATATTTAATTTTTTTTTTTTCTCGGGTTGATAGGCGGGTTGATCGTAGATATCGTTACACTAATTTCGAATAAACTTTTCGTATTACAAATCTGCTTTTAATAAACACAGTTCTGTCAATAACTCACATTCCTAAACAAACCACATATTTTACAACCCTAGTTCAGAACAAGATTGCCTACAAGAGTGATAAGTAAAATCCAAGAGACATATGATGCCTCGGTTTAAACATTGCGACGTTGGGTCACTTGCGGAAAGGTTGCCATTGTCAAAACACCCGGAGGAAAAAGATTCTATTCAATTACAGATGTACACAAAGTCTTTGGAAATGACCGGCAACCCACACAAAAGGCCAAGGCTTGTTACGCAAGAGTTACTGTAGTTTAGATCATCAACGAGCCGACCTTGAACGACAGATCACAGATCTCCAACAACATTATCCAGGAAATGAAATTATCAGTGACATTGGTTCAGGGCTCAATTGGAATCGCAGGGGTTTTGGAACGAATATTCTCTAATAGAATCGAAGTGGTGATTACCCGAAAGGACCGCTTGTGTCGCTTTGGATCCGAACTCATGGAATGGATCTTTGAAAAGAATGGGACACGGCTTGCGGTACTCAGTTCAGATGTTTATACCATTTATAGCGAAGCTGTAAAGCTCGCAAAAGACTTGCTTGCAATCGTCACAGTGTTTGTAGCACGACATAATAAACTACGTCCAGCCACCAATCGTAGAAGGAGAAGAGAAGCCGCCCAAAAGGTTCAAGAGTTCCAAGAAGTAATTGAAGAAACTTCTAGCGGCAATATACAACGGATTCGCATTTATCCCACCAGCAGAGTGTCTGAAACTCAGAAAATGGATGGAAACAGCACGATGGACATACAATCTGTACCTTAACTGTGATCGAAAAAGAAGGCGTCAAACGAAAAGAAGGATATACGCGCACGATGTCTAACGCCAAAAACTTCAATAATGCCAAACTTAAATGAGTCCTTGAAACTCCCTATGATATTCGTGATGAAGCAATGAATGACTTTATTAAAGTATATTCCTGTAACTTTGCAGCAAATCGTAAAAAATTCAAAATGAAGCTCTGTTATAAAAAAGGATCCTCAACAATCAATTACCATACTTTCTAAACATTGGGGCAAGTCTCGTGGTGAATACGCATTTCTTCCTAAAATCAAGTCAGCAGAACCTCTTCCAAAAAATCTTGCATATGATAGCCATCTTGTTATAAATCGCCTTGGTGAATGTTATCTTTGTAAACCTAGACCACTTGAAATATGGGCTGAAAACCAAGGTCCTTTATCTCAAAAGGTTCTTATTTATATTATCTATACAATGTTTCCTTGTCCTATATTAAAAATAAGAATCTAAGTTGTAGTTTAAATTAAAACTTTAATTATTTAATTATTTTATAATTTAATAGGAAGGATTAGAGAAAGCTGTTATTAGTCGAATTTATCATCTTAGTCATGCATGTGATAAGCTTCAAAGTAAACTCGATTGTATTCATGAAAAAAAATAAGCAAAAACGTTACAGGTAAAATTTACTGTCTGAAGCATAGCGGAGGAACCATGCAATGTCTGACTGTCACTATGTGAAAATGCCCAATCAAATTTCGGGATCAGGTGTAACAATCAATATTTGCATGATCAGTGATAATAATAAAATTAGTGTTTACATTAAATTATTTTTGTTTTTTCGTGATATTAAATGATGCAAACGCTTCAGACGCACAAAGGTTCCAGTTTCCTAGTTAATTAATTAATTAATTAATTAATTTAATATTTATAATTTAACATATTTTTTATAATTGTAAATTGTATCGCGTTATAATATGCATTCGCAAGAGGATCCATTGTCTTGTGAATGATTGTCATTATAAATGGCTTTGTGAAAACTATCGTGTAATATTACTATCTGAATTTTGCACTCAAGGAATGGACTGATATGGGCAACGACGTATTGGTTAAAAGACTACTTGAGCCATATGTACATGTCACATTATTGCTTTCAACAGCATCTGATATATAAGGCACGTGATCATCCCTGGTATCAGGTAGTAATTTATGCAGAAGAATACACAAGTAAAACTTGTGGATTCTGTAGTTATATTCATAGAAAGCTAGATGGATCTAAGGTGTTTTGATGAAAATAAACCTTGATAGAGATACTAATGATGCTCGCAATATTCTTCTTTGTTACCTTATAAAATCGGAGTCAGGAGCCTATAGGACTTGTTATTACCTAATTTAGACTTTGCTCAAAAGTGGAGTTTTATTAGTAATTATAAGTTTTAATGTATGCATTAATAATAATTTTGTATAATAGATACTGAGTGAGCTACGACTCTAGTTTAATTTTAAATAATTTTATCATGCATTCCTAGGTTTAGTTCAATAATACCAAAAATTCTCTTCTAATATAAACTAATATATTGACAAACATAACGAACGTAATAACAGACCATTCAATTGGATTTTATGATTCTTTTAGGGCTTCTTAATTAAAGTATCCATAAGGGATCTATTAACTGAATTTCGTCATAAAGTATGTGAACGAATTTGCAAAGTTAAAGTAAATTAGAAAACATAAAAATTTCTTTTTAAAATCATACAACTAGGAAATGGGAATTGTTATAAAAATTTAACAAAAAAATTCACACTGGTATTTGCTTTATCTAGAATTTTATACAATATCAACTTAATTATTGAGTAGGCAGTCTGTGAGACATTTTTGTAGTAATATATAATCCTACACTTCATTCTGGACTAATAACCAAATAAATTAATCCATTTGGATCTTTTATTTAGGATAAAATAATAATAAAATTTTCTTAATTGAACTAATATTACTATTAATATGCTTTCCATTAAGATGAATCTTTTCTTTTTAATGGATTAAGTGTACGACAAAGAAGGAAATTTGTGTGACTACGATGAAACGTTTCAAAATTTCTTAAAAGAGTACGACAAGGTTCTTAACAGTATAATCAGGGCCTTCTCAAAATGCTTACGAATCCATTAAAATTAAACCGACTGATTTTGAACTATTGCAAGAAAGCGATGTTACCCGGAATTGGTCCGGAATCAGTATAAACTTTCACCATAATATTCAATCAGTTATCATTTCAAGTATTTATTGAAGTATTTTTATTATATTTACAATATCTACTTTAGTGTAGAAAAAAAATATCTTCCGCGTTCATAGGTTTCAACTTCTATTATGATTGGAAATTCTATGCCAGGACAAAATCTCCCAATTTTGAAACGTATCCCATTCGTAAGAAGTTGAAACCTTTTTCATCTTCATCATTTTTTTGAATTAATTTTTAATCAATTTTGTTTGTTGTAATTCTCAGATGAAAAGCTTCCGAAGAAATTAGGGCATATATTAACGTTGGTGGATCAGTTTGGGCAATGGATTGGTGTCCAAACGTATCATCTGAACGTAAATATATTTATATATATTTTTATTGATTCCAAATTAATATTAAATCTAACCTATTTTTTAATAGAAAAAGAAAATGTAACGAATTATTCGTAAAGGAGAGCAGTATTTAGCCATAGGAGGGTATAAATCTACTATAGGTGAACAAGGCAAAGAGATAATTTGAATAATTCGATACAAGTTGGAAAATCAATTGTAGTTTAGTTATTTCTGTCGCCGAATCGCCGAATTTAGGTCATGATTTTGGTTGTGCTTTAGATTTACAATAGGTCTTTATGGAGCTTATGATAAATTGGAGATAACGAAATATCTATTACCGAAATTAGGTATCATTGCATATTCTTTTGGTAATGAATATTTGCCATCCCTAAACCTAAAAACATCAGAAATTATTTAATTTATCACCAGACGAAACATTATTCGGTAATAGTCTTCTTTTCTTTGTCATGATTTTTACATCAAAACGAGTTTAACACGTAATAACATTAGTTTTTTTTTTAATTTAGTAAAATTACGAATCCATTATACACCTTTTCATTGCCAAAACGTTATGTGTTGGACATTTAGTTGAGATGGTCATAGAAAGATTGCAACCGAATGTACGAATGGTATCCAAATAATATAATAGTTTGAGTATTTTTTATTTGATGAACCAAATTTATTTTTACATTATTTAAAAGGTGATATTGCCATACGGAACATCGAAGAAATTTTTAACAGTAAAAATTTCTCAAGGGGAAATCAAAAATCCAGAAAGTATTTAACGAATCTTTAATATTTCGGAAATTTATTCTTAACCTTTCATTTTTATTCATTCGTATAATTTTTTTTTTTTTTAAAAAAAAAAGTTAAATGCAAAATTTTCGCGCGCATGACTCGTGCGTTCGTCAGGTATCGTGGAATTTTATGTAAAATCCTAGTCACATTATGAGCTGCGGACATGATGGTCGATTATAAATTGCAGACAATCGTGATCAGATGTAATATCCTTAAGCAAACTATATTATTAATCCAATTTATCTAATTGTTCGAAATATTGGGGGGATTTCTTTATTTCTTTCATAGCATATTTAATGACAGCGTGTTGGTTAAATCACTATGGTGATGCCTTATTCGCAGATACTGAAGATATATTCGAATGGAAGATTTAAAAAGATTACGGGGTTATGATGCATCATGCTATTTATTGTTTGGATAATTTGAAGAAAATAATATTTTTTTGAGCGAATAAAAAAAATATATATATATATATATTTTAACTATGAAAATTTAATAGATGATTGCAGCATCATATTTTCATTCGTTTGTTGCGAGCTATTCATCAGATGGGACAGTAAAAATGACTAATATTAGCCAAAAGATGGAATTTTACGTCATAATTCTTGATTTCAAAATAAATTTTTTTTTCGTACCTTTCTTTATAATTAGAAACCATTCAATTACATTATACCGTATCGGGATTGAAGAAATTATGAAAACCTTTAGGTATTGGATAATATTAAATCCAAGGTAAGAAATTTTATCACATTTATAACTTGTCGTTAATTGAAAAATGTTTTATCTTTTTAACGAATTGATTGGTTCGCACAAAAAAGGAAACGACAACCACATTCGTGAATAACAAGGCATTCGGTCACTTCTTCATGCCTGAAGTTGCTATTCAACGAGTAAGATTAGCATAAAATATTTTAATGGAATCTTTGAAATATTAACATGGAACGCTGATTTATACAGTGGCGGTCAAAAGAATTGCATCACCTGAATGCAAATCTTAAAATTGCAATTTATTGAGATTAAGAAATCGCAGTGTTACAAAACTTATTTAAGGGGTTCGTCATACCCTATTTTATCAATCTATATAATC